GTGAACATCGAAAGTCAACTTTTTGGAAGCAACTTATTTCTACACTATATGAATAATTAAGTATAACTTGTGAAGTGAAACATAATTAAAAGCAAAATCAAAATTGTTTAATTCAAAATTCTTTTACTATCGTAATGTAAATTATTTCAAATAAATGAAAAAATTCCCTGACGCCGGCGCCGCTTGATGCCGCCAAAGACCAGTCTTGCCAGGCAAAAAAATTGCCTAAATGAAGTGTGAAAAAGTGTTAATTACCTACATAAATAAATAAATAAATACCTGCTAAGTGCTATTGTTTTATTGTAAACTAGCTTCTGCCAGCGACTTAGTCCGCGTGGAAAAGTGAGTACTGGCAGATTTTTGGTTTTACCCACATAGTTCCCGATCTCGTAGGATTTTCGGGAAGTTCGCTTTTTGAATTCCCGGGATAAAAACTTTATTATGTCCTTTCCCGAGTTTCAAACTATGTCTGCACTAAATTTAAGCCAAATCGGTTCAGGTATTAGTGTGTCCGGTGTCGGTAGTTTTGGTGTGAAGGAGAGACCGACAGTTAGACAGAGTTGACTGAAATAAAATCTTACAGTTTACAGCATCACATTCTTAGCGCGCCACAAAACATACTTATTAAAGTTCCTGGCAATCTTTTATTCCATACATATTTTTTCATTTATTCCATACTTTCAATTCCATTACTTTTTTATACATAATAGGTTGGCAAAGGAGCAGACGGATTACCTGATGGTAAGCAATCAGCGCCGCCCATGGACACCCGCAACGGAGGAATTACGAGTGCGTTGCCGACATTTAAGGGATTAGGGATTTGGAGATTTAGGGATTGGGGGCGGGGAAGAATTGGGCCTCCGGTAACCTTACTCACACGGTGAAACACGACGCTGTGGTTGTTTCACGCCGGTCTTCTGTGAGGCCGTGGTATCACTCCGGTCGAGCCGACCCATTCGTGCCGAAGCACGGCTCTCCCCCACTCCCATACTCAAAATAAATCTGTAGTTATGTCCAAACTGTACATGAAATATAAAATTAGCTGTGTCTGCGACTTCGTTCGCTTGGTTGTAAGTATGGAAGTGGACATTAATAAGGATAAAAATTACCACACATTGTTTTGGGTTCTATTGCGTGTATTAAGTTACCCTAGAAAAGTTTTTCTTATTTATATGCCACGTACAGACACCGATCTTTTACTGTTTATTATTTTATATCAACTAGCAGCTCGTCCCTGTTTCGCACGGGTCTCATCATCTCGCTGACGTTAAAATGGACCCTATCACCCAACTCTCCCCTCCACTTTTCTAAAATTTTCTTTCATAAGAACCTTCTCCTGAAAATAACACACATATCAAAAAAAGACTCAGTAGAATTAAGTCCAGGCGTTATTGAGTTAAGCGCTTACCAACACATTTCGCGATTCATTTTTATATATATAGATTATCATCATTGACATTTGACTTCTGACCTTTTGAGACTCCCCAATGAAAAAGTAAAATTTGAAAACAGTAAATAGTTGATAAGTAACACTTATGGGCAAAGTGCAATTTTTGCATAATTATCTTTCATCATCATCAGCCTATAGGTTAATATTTCGATTCAAGATCCCTCATGTATGATCAGTTCTCCGGTGTAAAGGACAAAAAGTTTTTAACTAACAAGTCAAGGACAATAAAAGTTTTATCATGTATAAAATGTCATACTTCAAGTCTGAAATGTAAAGGGGGGAACTATAGGAATGTGAGGAAGTAATTTATGTATTATTTTATAGTAAAATATACATTTTATAAATTTTATAAGTGATGTGGCAGATGAGCCAAATTTTACCCGATAACATTATACTTATATTCATCGTTTTAGCTTCTAAAACACACATTTGCCAAACATCTTATAATAGCAGGTGAGCAGCTTCGAAAATAATGTTACTTAATACATTGTCCGTATGTAATTACTTTGTTAAAAGTAAATCCTTATGTACTTCAGGAACACCTTGCCGCTATGGAACTGGGAATGCATAAACGACAAATGTCTTCCGTTAAAAGCCACACACGTATCAAAACTACAGTCTTTAGAAACATGCAACATGCTGTGCTCGTCAATACAGATTTGGCCACAACCAACGGGGTCAGTCAGTCTGTCCACCACCGCAGTACCAGCACGCTCCGACATGTTCCAACTACAAATGATTCAGGCTCCCACAAAAATAGTTCATGAGCACCTTCAAGAAGCTTTTGCTCATTTCCGCGAAGACTTGCAACGAATAGAACATGGTTCACGAGGTTTCGAAGAGTGGCGGAGTGTGTCAGTAAGATTAATGGTCAACGGCAGTGAAGACCCACGAATGACATTGGACACTGACGAAAGTTACAGCCTTTCCCTACGTCCTGTTGAAGGAACTGCCGTCGCTTTAATAGCAGACATTGCCGCACATTCATTCTGTGGTGCTAGACACGGGCTGGAAACACTCCTGCAACTGGTATGGCTTGACACGTATTTGGGATCTCTTTTGATACTAGAAGCAGCTAGAATAGACGATGCTCCCAAATTCCCCTACCGTGGATTGCTTGTAGACACAGCCCACAACTTTTTTCCTATTGAAGAGCTAATGTTGAATATAGATGCAATGTCCGCATCCAAGTTGAACACGTTTCACTGGCACATTAGCGATTCGCAAGCTTTTCCTCTGCAAACGAACAGTATCCCTGAATTATCTAACTATGGTGCGCACAGTCCTGGAGACATATACAGTCCGGACGATGTGCGAACAGTTGTGCGGAGGGCCAGGCTGCGCGGGATCCGCGTGATATTAGAAATAGATGCACCAGCACATGTCGGGCACGCCTGGAGCTGGGGCCCGGTCGCGGATCTGGGTGACTTGGTGTTCTGCCTTGACCTCGAACATTGGACTGACTATTGCGGTGAACCGCCTTGTGGACAGCTGAATCCAGTCAATGAACGGGTATACGACCTTTTCGAACGTCTATTTATAGACGTTTTGCAACTGACTGGAGTAGAAGACATAGTTCACCTGGGTGGCAGCGACATATCTTTGCGTTGTTGGAACGACCAGTTCGGTCACACCTTGAATGACTCTATGGACCTCTGGAGTCATTTTACACGGTCATTACTAAAACGCTTAGAACGAAGAACTGGAAGAATACCAAAATTGACAATTTTTTGGATGTCCAGCCTTAGTGAAAGATTTAAATCTGATTTACGTCAATATATTGATAACATAGGTTTTCAAGTACGCAACGCTGCCTGGGCTCAAACCTATGTGACCGGTATCCGAACAATTATGTCTCACGAAGATGCCTGGGACCTGAACACTGGACAGGGGGCGTGGTATGAAGAAAACAGTGGAGCTCCGTACAATTCATGGCAACGAGTATACGAGCATCGTCCATGGTTAAAGCATGGTACGGGTGTCATAGAAGGCGGAGAGGCTACAATTTGGTCAACGGAGGTGGGTGAGGGAAGTTTGGTCTCACACGCGTGGCCCCGGGCTGCTGCGCTTGCCGAGCGCCTGTGGACGGACAGACCCGAGGGAGCCACTCGGCTAGTACATGCCCGTCTTGACGTGCACCGGAGTAGACTTGTACAACGTGGTATACAAGCTTCTCCATTATGGTCAATGTGGTGTACACAAAATACGCATACCTGCAATTAGATGATGAAGTCATTACGAAATATACATTTACAGAAGTGTTTTGTAAAACATTAAATTTGTAATCATTATTATTTCAAAACATATACAACCTTCTAGTTCTTGACAAAGACGTGAATGTAATAAATGATGAATGATTAAATAAATAATATTTTTATTTATATAATAATGTTTTGTTGGCATCACGAAACATCCATTGCTGAAGTAACAAGAAATATAAAAGTAATAATGTATTTAAATAAGATCGTTTCATTTCATATCTATTTACTATCGATTTATTTAAAAACTATCGATATATTATATCGACAACAACCTGCACAACCATGTAAAATAGGAAACAAAAATTTAAAACAAAATGCATTTCCGTTTCCACAAACTTCTACTTCAGGTACGTTCTGAAACTTAATCTATTTAAATACACGTCTATAAAAAAACATATTTTAAGTAAAAGTACTAATAGAAGAAGCTTAAAATGTATTTATTTAAAAGTAAGTGGCAGTGTTACTTCTTGCAACTATTTTATGTATTTTTTTATCGATCAACCAACAGTATTATAAATCATGTAAATAAATTACCATGTTTTGGAACAATTTTCGTTTGGATACATTGTGATGTAACAGTAGTCCAGTAGTGGGTAGAATATAACCCAAATATGGATGTTTTTTGATTCAGCAATTACAAAAGTAGATTCAACGACTGAGTAAAGTTTTAAAGTAGTGTAATAACCATTGTTTAAACCTGCAACATTTCGAAACACTTTTACTGAATGAATAAGTATTATTTTTGTTATAATGTCAAAACACAATTAAAAGTGTTTGTTACATATCAAGTTATAAATTTATTATGATTTTTAAATGATCACAAATACTAAGTTTTACAACTTTACTCGAAATAGATTTTAGTCTCTACTCGAACATATTTATATCTACCGTACAAAAGCTTGTCTTTATTATTTGATACTGTATACAGCTTTATGTAAATCAAACATTTACGTTTAATAAACGAGTTTTTAATTTTTTAAATATATATCCGAACGAAAAATTGCCCAGCATGCAAAATTAGGAAGCGGATATCGCGTATCACATGCTAATAAATTTACTCATGTAGACACAGCCTAACAATAATTTACGAATATTTCTCATCGTGCATCTGGCTACGATGAGTACATTTCATCTGTTTTCTTTGATTCATCTAATCTTTACTTTTAAATCAATCATAAAATAAAGATGATGAAACAAAATAAGTACTTAAAATCATTAGATAATGAAATCAAATGTAAATAATACTGTAAAGCTATATACATATCAATGGAAAAATATAAATTTAGTCTATGGTCAACGTGGCGGCCGTGTATGTAAGCGTCAAGTTATGGCGTTTTGTGAAAAACACGTAAATAATTTTAATTTGTAATTAAATGTCAGTGTAACTTTTATAAATTAGAATTAATATGAGCAGATATTACGATTACGGTAATGCGATATCATGGTGAGTAAAGTTTTATTTGGAGTGGTGACAACCATATTGTTTGAAATTTTGTGTACGTTTTCTTTTAGAATATTTATTTGACATTATTTGATAACACAGTAAACTTTTGAAATAATTAGTATAGTTAATTAATAATACCAAATGCTTTAAGAATCATCACACTTCTCGGTGTAGTACCGGGATTTTTAAATTCAACTGAGTTTCCAACCTACGTTTTAACGTGGTTTTCGTTATAAAATGTTACTGAACTAGATTTACAGAAGGTACCTAAGCCCTGGTATATAATTTGAAGCAGATTACATATCTAATTTATTTAAATATAAATAGCAACTTTAAATGTTCCATTATTTATTGAAAGAAATACGTAAGTAATTATTGATTTTAATGGGAACGCTCTAGGAATCCCGGTACCCCGGTACACAACTTTGTAAATTGCTTAACATTATGTTAAAAGTTTTAATGTATGTATCTGAATAAGTACAAACATTGTTTTTGATTCGGCTTGTTGACAAACAACATTTTATCTTCAAACTACTGAAGTATTTATCCTCTCAAAGTAGAAACTATAGCTATAGGAATAGTTATCTGCTACAAAAGTAGTAATTACAAACTCACCTTTCAATAGTTTTTATTTTTAACCAAAAAAGAAACTAACAATCATTATCATAGTACAAAGTAGATAATAGTGATCTACACCCATGTATTTTTAGCTGTAATAATATTATTGCTATTGCTCTAGTCTATAGCTAGTACTGAGACAGCCAAAATATTGCATAATTAGTTAGAATATGATACAATTTGGAGTGGTCCTGTTTTCTCTGTATATTATCATATTAATATATTTGTTACCAATGTTCTGGAAAATTTCATAAACGGGACACCACTTATTTCTCTTACCAATCAGCTTCTGTCTCCCTCAATCAGTGGGTTTCATGTTAACAAAGTGTTAATGTACTTTTCTCTCCTTAGCGATGCTCGTTCACAGCTGCAGTGGAATAATATCTCAAATTATTAACTAAAGGATCACCAACTATTGCTTTAAAATTTCTTAGTTTAAGTACTTTTATGGTTTATCTATAGTTATTAAATTAAAGCTGTAAGACATGTTTTAACCATTGATGACTAAAATGGATAATTATTCAATTGCAGATGTTCAGTAGTTCTTGCCCCTTTCCCTGTCAGTTTCCAGTCTGTTATGTAAGAGAAATAAGGTAAAGTCCGCGTGGTGCCATTTCATTCACTACCTGAAGAAATTTTCCAGAAATCTCTCCAGTTTTATATGGATAATTGATGATAGTTTGTCCATTTTTGGACTCATACATTTCAGTTGACATGAGATGGTCGTTCGTCAACAATGGTTAAAACACGATCTTCAGCGAGGGTAGGAAGCGCGGCCACCAGTGCGCCCGCCGAAAATGGAACTTCTTCCGAACTTAGATCGCGGCTCAAAACCACTGAGAACGGTCACCGCTCCCAAAGGCCCTACAATCAAACTAGGCAAGTTTCAGTTCTTGTCGCGTTTGCCTCAAACATAGCTGCTAGCATGATATCCCACTTCTGTCCAACAGTCACCATTGTCGTTTCTGTTTGCTACTGCAGTCAATACTTGTGGACAGCCGGAGGCAGTTAAAGCATGAGTCTCGGTGCTTTGGTGATGGTTCTTGTATTGAACAGAGATTGATGTCAGTGACGATGTGCAGTCATTTGTTGCATGATTTGCGATCCCTGATTGACCTGTCCCCATGTGATTGTTAACTGGTCTGTGTTAGGCAAGGTAAGAAAGATGTGCAAATGTTGGTCATTTTTTAGGAACAATCAGGCGCTACCTTCGGGGAGCGTGGGTCCGGGCAGCGGGTCACAGGGGAAGGACCCCCTGGCGCCCGCGCTGCCTGGTCGCTCCCTCTACCAGCACCCCACAGTTAGCGGGTACAACACACAAGACTCACGCGGACAAGCCATGCCTGTCACGGTAATTTTTATTTTTACAGCACACTGGGTTTTTGTTATTGTTAACATTTATATAGTTCTTATAAATTAAAGGAAATAATACAATATGTTCACGATTGACACACATCATGGAGTATAGCGGATGTTGCAGGCACGGCAGAACCCCATATACCCCAGCAGCATGTACCACGGGTACGGGGCTAGCGCGGCGGGTACACTCGCGCCCATGCCGTCACCGTCACCCACCGCGCCACTAGCGCCGTTCCCGGTACATCCAGACGTTAAGTTTAAAAAGTAAGTACATTCATCAGCACCTTAACACTTGTTATTTAACCAATTTCATGGATTTCATTAACTTTTATTGGAAAATTAAAATAAAGATTCATTCAGACTCATAGACACTATGTTACAACTTTCGTTTCTATTTACAGATAGTTCCAATTTTTCAGCTTTTTCTACTCCGCTTCACGTTACTTCTTATTAGGCTTAATTGATTTTTGCTATTAACCTTATACTTCCAACGATAATTTGGTCGGAATTAAAATTTTTATTGTCTGATTTATGGTGCTATTTGGCACACATTTTTAACTTAACTTTCGAGCTTCTAGTATACACGGATCCCTTAAGCAGTTGACTGCTGACAAAATTGTTGAAGGCTAACCCCCCGCTAGCGTCGGACAGCATTGTCCGACATGGCGTTCTAAGTGTTAAAATCTAAGCATGGACCATGGACCCCTTCCAAACATTGTCACTTATCCAAAAACCATGTTACAGGCTTAAGACCGTAACTTGACAGTGACGTTATAGCAGTTGCATAGATTCTTCCACTAATTAACAACCCATTTTACCAGACTTCCCTTCTACGACGTGCTAGCGGAACTGATGAAGCCGTCGACAATGATGCCCATGCAGGCAGGTCGCATGCAGGAAGGCACCTACGTGTTCCACCTCACACCCCAACAAGCCACAGAGATAGCTTCAGGGAAAGATCTGGTTGGAACTAGCAATAAACTTGATTATGTCATACAGGTGAGAGAAAAATAGGTTTTCTGTAAGAATAAACTAGTTATCTTGATATCTATGATTAAGGAGTATCAAGGCTAGAGTGAATAGGCTCTTAATAAACTAGTGCACCTTACCATCAACAATTCCTTAACTGCTTACCATCAGGCGGAATTGCAGTCAACACTAGTTTATAGGATGAAAAAAATATAGTCAAAGGCTTCATTATAATCTTGTGCAATTTAAAATGACTGAATGAATTTTGGATTCTAAAATTGTCTATTTCCCATCTCGGCCAGAATGATACCTCGGCTTCATTGAATAGCGCGCGAAATAATGCAATTGCGTAGTGTTTCGCTGTGTAAATAAGGTTACTGGAAGCCCAATCCCTAAAACCCGGCAACTTACTTGTATCTCCTTGTTGTGTCCATGGGCGGCGCCGATTGCTTACCATCAGGTGATCAATCAGCTTGTTTGCAGACATCATTTTTTTTTAATTAGGTATGACCCAAAATGTTTGTTCACAGGCACAACTACGGTTTTGTCTTCTAGAAACTTCTTGCGAACAAGAGGACCATTTCCCGCCTAGTGTTAATGTTAAAGTTAACAACAAAATGTGTCCACTACCTGTAAGTTCAACTTGTATTATTTATGAGAAAGGGATAAATGGATGGATAGACATATTTTTTAACTAATGGCTGAAATAATCTTGTTAAAAATAAATGTATAAATACTCCCGTAGAATTATTCAGGTCTACCACGCCGATGACAATGAATGAATGAATCTATGACGAAAGATAAGAATGTACCTACATATTTTTGTTAGAAGAAAATACTTAAAAAATGTTCTAAAACTTCACTTAAACTACCTTCAGAGTGTAAAAGGTTTTATGTAACATGCTTTAAATTTTTTGGTAAAGGTCAAAGTCGAAGTCACATAATCATGCAAATTATATACTCATAAAATATTTGTATTTCTATTATGGTGAGAAAATCTTGTGCTGTAAGTCCTTACATACCTACTACGCATACTTAGCTTGTGGTCTGGTCTTAACATCGAATGAATGCATACTGCTCCAGAGAAAGGTCTGACTGTCAAAGGATTTAAGTGTGGGAGAGCCATGCTTCGTCACGAATGGGTCGGCTCGACCGGAGTGATACCACGGCCTCACAGAAAACCGGCGTGAAATAACCACAGCGTTGTGTTTCGCCGTGTGAGTGAGGTTACGGGAAGCCCAATCCTTCCCATTCCCCAATCCCTCCTCAATACCTAATCCCTAAAAGGTCGGCAACGCACTCGTAACTCTTCCGTTGCGAGTGTCCATGGGCGGCGGTGATTGCTTACCATCAGGTAATCCGTCTGCTCGTTTGCCGACCCACTACATAAAGAAAAAGATTTCTAAAAGAAATGTGTAGTTATTTCACGATACATAAACACCAGTCCTATTATAGTCATAAATAAGAAAATCAAACACATTATTAATTCATCACCAAATCGTAACGTATGTGCTCTGTTTATCCTCCTACAGAATCCAATACCTACAAATAAGCCTACGCCAGAACCGAAGCGGCCGCCGCGACCTGTGAACATATCTTCCCTAGTAAAACTATCGCCGACTGTCGCGAACACTATACAAGTCACGTGGCATGCGGACTTTACGCGCGCTTACGTGCTTAGCGTGTTCATGGTGCGCAAACTGACCTCCGCTGAGCTGCTGCAGCGGCTCAAGAATAAAGGCACCAAGAATCCTGACTACACGAGGTCACTTAGTAAGTTTCTCTTGAATTATGATCTTCTTCTATCTTAAATCTTGATCGATAATGCAAATGGTAGGCCAGGAAAGTTAAGGGTGTCTGTGTTTAACAAAAACCAGCCAACTCCAACATTTCAGTTTTGTAAAGAAAAATTATTAAAGAAACTGACAGTATTAAAAGTAAGAATTTAGGTTAATATATACCAACGGTAGTTTTCATTTTTTTATATAGCATTAAAAGTGTCTCCTGAAAATTTTGCTCCTAAGAAGTTAGCTGATTTTTTGACCCCTGAGTTTGTTTCGGCATTTCTTCTCAGAGTAGTCAGATAGGAAATGCCGGCTCCATCTAGTTTTTTACATATAAATTGACGTGTAAAAGTGCCGTTTTATGGCCTATTTGCAAAAATAAATTCATTGCTTCATTGTTTAATTGATTGGTCAATAAAGGTATCGACATCCGATTAGTCTTTTAAAACTCTTTTCTGTACTATTACCTATTTGCATCGTATTTGTAACCCTGCAAGATACATAACAATACAAATAAAACAATCTTTGAACAGTAAAAGAGAAGTTGTCGGAGGACTACGACAGTGAGATCGCGACGACTTCGCTGCGAGTGTCGCTGATGTGTCCGCTGGGCAAGATGCGCATGGCGTGTCCGTGCCGGCCCGCCAACTGCCCGCACCTGCAGTGCTTCGACGCCTCGCTGTTCCTGCAGATGAACGAAAGGAAACCCACCTGGCTTTGTCCAGTGTGTGATCGTCCTGCGCCTTATGACTCCCTGGTAGTGGACGGGTGAGTAATTCACAGTTAGATGCTAAGAATAAACTGCTAGTGTACTTATAAGGACGCCAGCTTTGCCCCAAACTTGCTGCCTACAGGAAAATATTTATATTATTATGGAGCTTATTGATACTAATATTATAAAGCTGAAGTTTGTTTGTTTGAGCTCACTAATCTCAGGATCAGGATTTACTTGTTCGAATTTTAGGCTTTAGATTATAAAACATCACGCTAAGTTCTGTGGGAGCCGAGCAGCGGGTGAAACCGCGCAAAAGTAGCTAGTCAGTCAAAAGGTTGATAGAACTTTATAGTTTTCAAATCAACAAATACTTGTTGAGATGGATGTTAGATAGATAGTTGTAGTAATGTGTTGCTGTGCCCCACGCAGGTACTTCCAAGAGGTGCTGACGTCCCCGCGCCTGTCGAGCGAGTGCAACGAGATCCAGCTGCACGCGGACGGCAGCTGGTCGGCGCACGCGCCGCCCGCGCGCGCCCCGCAGCTGCAGCAGCCCGCCGCCGAGCCCGTCACGCTCATCTCCGACGACCTCGGTCAGTTACTTCCACACTACTACTTCTTACAACTACCTACTACGTACAGCGACAATACGGTAGTTTTCAACTAGTCAAATTCAATACTTTTATCCAAAATCGATTCTTTTCTATAAAATTTGTATGAAACTCCTAATAATGACGTCATGGTAGCAAATAGCTTACTTATTTCTTAATAATTAGCTAAAAACATCGAAAATTTGTGTATCGAAACATTGATGAATAAGAATGAAGTTACTTTCCAATATTCTATTGTATTGAAACGTCGAATTAATTTATTTTTGACCTAGGAAACTACCCAATTGACACGAATGATGAGGTTGGATTAGACTCATGTTTTAATATCATTATCATTGAATCCGTTATCTAACTTACGAAATAAATGTAAGTGACATACAAGATAATTTAAATTTGTTCTACAGAAGTGATTCCTGTAGACAGCGGTGTAGGCGCTGGTAAACGTGCCGCCGTAGGCGAGGCTCGTGCGCCACGCTCTGCAGACGTGATGGTGGATCTTACATCGGACTCTGATGACGAACTGCCTCTCAAACGGAAGATACCACCACCGAAAGCTACACCACCAGCTTCTGAAGCAAATATAAAAAGTGACGAAAACTATTCGTCAAGTGGTGAGTTGGGAATTTTAAATTGGGTTTTTCTGTGTCTAAATAATAGTTTTAGAGTGGGTCAGAACCAACATCTAACATGTTAACAGCAGCAGAAGCAGTGTCTTCGAGTGGGTACCGGTCACCCGGCGTTGCGGGTGGCGCATGCGGAGTGATCTCACTAGACAGTCCGTCCCCGCCGGCGCCGGGCTCCCCGCCGTCGTCACCGCGCGAGCCCGAGGCGCTACCGGAGCGCCCGCACCTGTCTATCACGCCGGTGGCTCCACCTACTAGCAACTCCTCGCAACACCATATAGGTAAATACACATATACATTTGTTCCCTAGCCTGGGACTGCTGGCCCGCCTGTCGTAAATGAAACAGGTATAACTCAAACAAATCAACTTAGAACTGTTGACAGTATCTTGCTGCATAGCTATCTGTAACTTTGAATACTTAATGATTGGTTCAGCACTCATCATCAAGTTACTATACAGTTGTAAGTTGACGTTATCTCGGGATTATAAGGCCAATGACCAAGAGCTGTTTAACACCAACTACCACGATGTAGCAGGTAAACTGTAAATACACTCGAACTGGTTTTCCTTGAAAACGATCACTATGCCCGTCGCTACCCGCACCCTTTCAGATCTGCTGACGAAGCGGCCTCAGTTATCCGTCTCATTGGTACCGGCACCTGAGCCGCAGTCGCTTCATTTAGGTAAAAAGAAAACGCCCCAAATTTGTCATGGATTGCGATTAACTCGAATGTATTATTAATATTTGACACAGGAGCACCTGAGATGGTGTAAGCAATACATGAATAATTTTGGGTGTAACTAAACCAAATAACTTTACCTAACCTGGTGTATGTGCCCTGGCTTGAGTTTCCCTGGTGACTGACTGACGTTGCTTTGTTTGCCCCCCGCTGCCGGCGCAGTTCCACACGACGTCATGACGGATGGACCGCACCTCTCTATCACTCCCGTCACTTCTGCGGCACCTACACATCATATTGGTAAATATGATATCTTATCCACCAACTTTCAGTCCCACTTGTCTGGTTCGAATCCAGAGCCATTCAAAGTGTTGTTGGATTAATTAAATTTTATGTTGTATGTGTATAATCCTATATACTTATCTCACTAATAATAACTAACCTTTATCGCAATTAAATCGGCTTTTTGGTGGTATTTTTTCTCTATAAATAGATGATGAACACCTTTATAATGTTTTAGCTTTATTACAGATATGACCATCTTGCTCTACAAATGAAAATATGTACAGTTTATATAAAATGCATGGATTCGTCGATGGTCTCCCTAATTTTCTGAAACTATAAATTGGCAATTTGATACCCAGTACCCACTATAAGTTATACTATTGACAAGACATAATAGACCTATAAGCTTTATGGCCTGTTTCACATATTTAAAATATATGAAATATACATAGCATCTACCAAATGAAATTTATTGTATGCATATGACGGTAGTAAAACAGACCATCACTGGATAGATTTCTTTGTAAAAGTGCGGTAGAAAATATATCTTAATAATTTTAAAATATTAACTACAATTGTGTAGAACAATATAAATGTTATAATAATACAGGTTCGAGCACGAACGCAGACCGTGACGACGCGGAGGCGACGCCGGCGCACTGGGCACCTTACGCTGACTCTGAAAGAGATGATAATTATAGGAAGTAAGTCGCTCATGCTCTGCGCTCTACACTTAAGTACAATGTAAGTTTAGTAAAATGCATTGTGGTTTCATTATCATCTTCAAGCATTAACTCAAGAATTACTAAGGATTGGTACTAGTAACACTATTCCATCTAAGCCATCTAAGAACGAAGTATACTCTTCGAATCTCAAGAATAGAGGTCACAGTGAGCAATGTTTGTTGTTTTTATACTTACTGAGCTTTTGTACATATATAGATAAAGCAAAAATACACACACATACAAATACATGTAATAATGTCTTCCTTCGTCCAGATACTGACTGCGGGAGAAGAGTGGTCGCCCTACCTACACTAGCGGCCATTCTTCAGAGGAAGATCAAGACGCGTCGTACACCGAGGTGCCGCTACTGGCGCCGCAGTAGTGTGGCCCCCACCGCTTGCCAAAGTAGATCTTCCAGTGTGGCGCGTGCAGCCCGCTATACTCTCCCGGCGTCTAGTGCTCCGACACTCGCGTCTTACTGCGGGACTCGCATTCCACATGACTTTCTGCTCAAACTCTTCATCATCATGGACCTCCAGTTCACGTGGACGTTGAACTATTTAAATACACAATTAATATTTTGTCTAATGTGCATTTTGTTCACCAAATATGTGTAAATCTGTGAAATCCTCGAGTATTGCAGAATAAGCTAGCGAGATCAAATATTTTATTTGTAACTAATTCACCTAGATTCTCTTTAGCGTAGTTGTAAGTCCGACGTCATTAGTATCGAAATTATTTCATTGCTCCGTAAAATATGGTGTATTATAAAATCATTTCACAAAATAGTTTTAATGTATGGTTCTCAACGAATTGTACGAGTGTGTATACAATGTGAGGCTGCGTGAATGAGATCAGTTGTAAAATAATAAAAAAAAATAATAGAAGGCCTTAGGATTCAAATATTTGAATGCGCAAGTATGTATTTCGTAATTTTGTACTAAGTCGTGAAACGACGAGCTAACTTAATTAAAATAACGTAACATTCTTTACTTAGCCCACTGATACAAAGCTTATATTTATTCCCAATATTAAAATCATATTTTGTGAATCTACACTAAATACGATACATTTTGTTAAATATAATATTGTTATATTACAAATGGACTGAGAATAGGAAAACCCACGAATCAGTCGATATGTTTTGTAATTAATACCTAAACAAGTTTGTTTAAATGTAACTAGATCCAAATTTCTAGAGTTCCCAGCTAGCTTTTAACAACAATGTATTATAAATACTTATTAACCAAATGTTTTGTAAACTTCTCTCTTTAGTAGATAAAGCCTTGATTATGTTATTGACTTTGAATTCTTTAGATTTAGTTGGCTGGCGCGATGTGTTCATTTAAGGTAATCGAGATAAGACAAGTTATGATATAGTCAGTGTTAAATATAAAAGTCATAACATTCTTTGTGAATATTACTCAATTATAATTAATACTGTCGATATGTTATTAATAATTTGCCTTTGGATCTGACTCGCGCCCGCCATCAATACTGCCCTTCATTTATAAGTTTTCCTAAACTACACTCGGAGGATGTTCTAATTTATTTATTATTAAGGTGTAGTATTCAATGTGTAATTGTATTATATTGATGTGGATGTCGACATTGTTGACTTCAATGCGATACAAATTTAAGAAAAGTAGGATAAGATATTGTCATTCAATAATAAATGTAAATATTGTTCAACTGCATTTTAATAGTACATTATTGACACCTGCCTCTCCATACCCTTTCTCAAATGAAAAATTCCAAAGTGATATTGTATGAATGATATTATAGTGTTGAAATTAATTAACTTTTGCAAGTAACATTTCATTGCTTTACTAGAAAAATATAAAGACAAAACGATAGTAAGAGCAATGAAACTTCGAAATGTAACTGGCACTTATGAAGCGGAGTAACAGAACTCAACGGCAACGACCTCCGTCGCAATGTTTAATTGTCGGATAATTATTGTAATGAATGGGCGGCTGTGGTGATGCCGCCTCAAACGCTACAACAATCATTATCTATTCACTCGGTGGATCAATCCAAGATAGCACTAGTCTGTGGCGACGCCGGCCGATCGTACTGTTCGTATGTACGCGCCCTTCTCACATTTTTATGCCGCCCGCCTCATAAACTGCTCCCTCCCTTTCGCACCAAGGGCCGCCCGCACCGTGCGTCCCGCTCTCTCGCACACCTTACAGGGGGGACACGTAGCTCTGCTCGCTCGAAGCCAGTTCCGCGGTCGTCCGCCGACTCCTAGCGGCGCTGACGTGCGTTACGCTCTTACGACAATTTTGTTTCCACTGTGAAATCACCAGTGTTATTTGTTTATATTTTATAACATAGCCCATGGATTGAACTACATCGCTCTCTGGATTTGTCGCTAGCTGTGTTGTGTACTGTTCGTGTTTGTGTGAAACCCGAAGCGAATACTATTGTGAAACGGGTCGGCCGTGTTCGTTTATGTGCTGAATGGTGATTAAAAGTAATTTACTTTGCTTTTACGGTGTTGAGGGTCGGTGCGTATCGATCGTATATTGAAAGACAAAGCGGTGGATTGTTATTGTGGTGTGGAGGAGACCGGTGCAGCTATAGGTAAGTGGTACATGTTTTGGTTGCGTTATAGCAATCTGGCCATGTAACTTACTAACATGACGGCCGGCGCGAGGATGCGGCGGCGCGGCCAACTCCGAGCCACAGACTAGCTGTAACCAGTAAACTAACGATCAGCTTGAACTGAAGTCAATTTAACCTGTATACCTACATGCAGTAAGTGCACCCGTCATTTTGACGGCAATAGTATATGTGTAATATGAGCTGCTCGGTATACAATTAACGTATAACACTGGTAATGTGCTTATAGGTGTCTTATATGATCCGCTTATAAAATTCCTATGAAAGCACGTGTTTGATTGAAAGCTTATAATTATTTATTTATTTATACTTCATGCACAATTTAGTATGTACATAAGGCGGACTTAATACATTGAGCATTCTCTACCAGTAATTAATACTATCAAGTAAATTTTTAAGTAATGTGCTTTTGTTAAGAAAAAATGATTTATAAGTTACTGTACGTGCTTACTACGCTTGTTCATTGCATTGTGTGTAGTCAGTAAGTTTAGTAACAATAGCAGGCATGACGGGTTAACCAGCTATACTAAAGTATCTATTATGAACACACTTAGGTGGTACGTAGCCTGATTCAGTTAAATCCCGAACTCTTAATTATTAATACACACCCACTTATCGGTACCGGCCTGACTAGGTACCTACTTACTAACTTGATTAGGAATTATGATAAGTACTCAAGTACCTAGTATAATACATAATCTTCGATACTGTAAATCTCTGTAACAGAGATGAAGTCTGTAAGTGCATGTAAATATAAATGAAACCCTCAAACATTTTGTCTAATCAAATACGAGCTATTTGTCAACAGCAATAAGTAGGCGAGTACGTAGGTACCTACTAAACCATGTGAACGCAAGCTTTCGTTATCAATAGCGTCGAGCCAGCCAACTGCAACTGATTCGTTGTCGTGTAGGCTCGGCGCGCGGCGATGTGAACACCGCCTAATAGCTTCACGTTCCGAGTGCCTTTACTAATGGGATAATGGCAGACCGCTGCTCGCGTTCGAAATATTTATAAAGCGGCCGAATCGCGTCGTGTCAACAACCATCTGACTGTTTGCTTTCCCATTTAGACGCGCTGGCCGCGAGGGTGCCGATAAGGCGAGCTTCGACAGTCAACATTCACGGTTGCCTTAGAATTATACGTTAAACGACAAGACATGCGGGCCCATTCATATGCTTCTATTTGTTTGTCGATGTCGTCTATCTACACTACATAGTGTATATAGCGCGCATAACTGTCGATACATGACTTACAAGCACAATGGCTATAATTTTTGAATCCATTCAAATCGTGAAATCGTGCCACCATATTTACAACTACCTACACTGTTTTTCTTAACATAAGGTAACAAAGTGTTCACAAAATCACTATAAAACATTAAAGCGACGATTCACAAAGGGACATTGAAGTACCTCGAGGGCCCTAAACTACGTTGTCGAGCTCAATGGCACTTAAGAATGATAAGTAAACACCCACCACCTACCTTCTTGAAAGATGTAACAAAACAGATTTATGTAAACAAAGGCATTACGCGTTTCCATACCCAATAGTAAGGGTGTGCCGAGTGACGAGTTCGCGATAGACAGACCGGACGCACAGCTTGCTATAAGTAGCTCGCGTAGGTACCTAATAAACTACAGTTTTCTCATTTCCTTTTACATTAAACAAACTTCTCGCCTGTTTAGAAATTTAATATCACGACTGTAAACCTTTATGTATGATTCTAAAAATTAAGTTATAGGTATTTTATAACTTGATAAAGAGCACATATCGTTCTAAATATATAGTTAGTTAGGTACTTCGATATAATATTCATTTTAATCCGATAAACCCAACACCACATTTCAGTATCGTTTACGATCAAACAAAACTAATGACAAATTGCTTCTCAAAGCGTGTTTTACGAAGTCGCGCGCGTGCTCACTAATGCTAATAGAAAACCGGATTTATTATGACCATAATACCATTATCTATGTTTGCCGACTGTAGTCTGTTGTAAAGGCAATAGAATTGCGTTGAGTAACTTTACACGCCTTACAGCAATTGTCTCTTTGGAGTTGGACAATTAAGTACTAGATTATTTAATAACAGCTCAATAAAAACTAGGACAATTCTCTTGTCAAGTGATGATCGTTTGTATGTTGTATAAAAAAATGCATGATTTATGCACTAAATAGGAACAAGTTCTACGTAACCGAGTAGGTAAGTGTGATCGTACACTCATTTCTATGTCTGTTACAAATGGTTTGGAACAATGAGCTATTCAAGACGAGGCAAGTGGTAAGCTGAGCAAATGTTTTAAACATTGTCGCTCGTTAGTGGTGCTCGTGGCATGCTCTTCGCGTCCAATTTGTAAGTTTTTTGGACGCTTGCAGCGCCGCGGGAGCCGCTGCGGGCGGTCCGCGAAACACTGCTCGCTTTGTGCACGAACTACGTTGTTCCCTTTCATGGCATCGGTTATTGTACACCGTACTTATTGCCTTGCTCTTTGTGGCACGAATGTTGTTCAGGAATAGAATTGCGATAACCCGCAAGCTATTCTAGCCAACATTGAACATACCTTTATTATTGTTCGCTGGTTTTAGCACGCCTCTTCTTCTCCTTCTTACCGAAAGCAAAGGGTACCAGCGAGTCAATCTTACCCATTTTTTATTTATGTGTAAAAATAAAATTCAACTGGCGACATTCAAATTGATCAGATGTAATGATCTTCTTCGACGTTTGTTAATGATTAGTCAATAGTGTAGGTATTCATTTATTAGATTGTTAACAAAACCGTTATCTATTCTGTAGTGAATGACGGCGAGGCGCGGGCTGCTGCCTGCCCGATCAGAGCAGCACTCTATTAAAATCACACTTGATTAGATCTCCGTGCGGTTTAATTGAACACTCCAGTCGCGGTATGCACGCCTGGTACACGGTGCACAACACAGACCGGGGCCGCCGAACGAGAACGCTCCGTCGACGACGTCTTATTTCTTTTTATACTTTCATCTCGTCCGATTCGTTTTCGTATTTTTTCCTTTGTCCCTTTTGTTGGATTTTTCATATCCTTCTGTTTTCCGGGTGGATTAATTTTAATTTGAATTCAAAGCTCATTCCAATATTTGCGCTTTTTTGTTCTTTGTAATGGATATTGAAGGTAGTAAAAGCAATCAACTCATCAAATATATTTCGAAGTGGTGTGGTATTATTTTTGAGGAATGTAGATACACGATCTTCCACGATAGATAGAATATTTATCGCCGGGGTCGCGGGATCACGGTGCGCCGCCGCCCACTGGCAATTTGCCGTCCGCCCGCGGCGCGCTGCACTCCCGCACTCACAGCTCGCCTGTAAGACATGTTCTCAAACTAAACGCTATGCTAATGTAATGGGGCTCCATTTGATCACAGCCCACGGCTAATTTCAAATTTTCAATGAGACGTCTGTGGCAGTAACTTTATTAGGTGATTAGTTTTATTATTAAAGCGATATAATTACAGGAAGGTTAAGCGTTACAATTGATCATGACACGTTGGAATTTGAAGTTTAATCGCTTTTGATCATCATGAGAAATGTAATCTTCGCATTCTTATTTAGATTAATACCTTTTATTATGGCTTAATTTACTGTCGCGAATGATTCCACAGCCACCTTACACCTTTGATTTCGGGGTAACCTACCTGCGGAAACTATAATGGATCTTCCCGGAAACACCGCTCCTACTAGTCATACATACGTGCCATTGACTAAGGCATTGTGTGATTTTTATGTCTCGCATGATGATGATGACGATGACGTAGTTTTAGCATTCCAAATTACACCCACCTCTACATTGAATACTTATTCCCATACTTATTTGGTTGGATTGTTATATTACAAAAGGTTTAAAATTTAAAAGGTTTTCGATACGAATTTTGTTAATAATCGAACCAGTACCTACTGGGCGTTTATCATAATCACGAATGCGCGCCATTTTGTATGACAACCGATCAACCGGCAATCTTGTTTATGTTTAACCATTTATGCAACGTCTCAACTGGCATGTTTAACACTCAATTCACGTCTGTTTCTCAACCAGGTTATGTCTTTTCGCTCGGTAAAACCGGTATAATGTAAGTCGAAGT